AATGAAAATGTTCATTTCAAAAAAAAAAAGGATTAAGTAATTATTTTGTTAAACTGTTGGAAAAAGTTGTTCATCGTCAATTAGGCCAGCATTCTGAACTCAAGCTTGTGCGATCCACGGTCTACCCAGCCGCCCGCTTTCTTAGTCTTGGCTGTGAACCGGTATAAGGACGACAAGGAAACCGCCGCGCATGCCTGTTCTTCGTCGGATAGGTCGAATTCCAAGAAGAATCAAATCTATTATCGGCGAATACCTACTCATATCAGAGCTAACTCTCATGTCAACATGTCTTTAATGAAGATCTGCGACTTTTCTAAGACATTTTGCTTGTCTGAGAGCTTTCGCGTTTGCACCTCAATTTTACACTCAATTCTTTTACCATATTGATGGGTAACAATGACTCATTTGCCTCTTCCTATAGTCATCTTTCTTGCAGATACGTGTATTTTACTTTTTCCATTTATACGTAATATACTTCTATGATTGCTTAATACATATGTACGTGTGAAAGTACACCAGACTCAAGTCATAGCTAAAATAGACATTGCTTAGCTATTTGATGCCATAAAATGTCTCGAATGTAAAAGTTTGAGTGAAACTACAATTCTGTAAAACGCAATAGCTCTTGGAGATTGTTTAGTTTGCAGCACAATCACAACGTACAAATACAGCAACACATTAACTTCAAAAGATCCACCAAAAAATTCTTTAATATTGATTGTGCAAAATATTTATGAGATATGATAAAGCGCATACTACAAATTTCAATAATGAAGTGAATTTCTTTCTTTTCTATGTTTTCAATTTACGGAACATTCGTCTATACTGCATTGTTATAATTCGTCTCTGTATTTGGGTTTGTACAATATATAAATTTTTTTGTAAAAGAGAGCAATATTAAACTTCATGTCGTTAACTTCAAGTAAATTATCTCGGCCCACTAATTGCAATTTTGCCACGTCGTCTTAGTAGTTCGTAGACCAGAATCCATTTTGGATGAGCCCTATCATCATTTTTCGTGCAACATATCGTTAGAGTGTCTGAGATGATTGCGGTAGTTGGCAAAGGGACTAGTGGGTTTTGCAGTAAAGTGCGACAGGGTATTACAAAAAATAGGCCGACAGTTGAGCATGACTAACTCTTATATTGCTGAATTTTTTCTAAACCTAATTTGATT